ACAACTACACAACTACACATGGATACAACTACACAACTACACATGGATACAACTACACAACTACACATGGGATACAACTACACACTACACATGTATAACAACTACACATGGATACAACTACACAACTACACAAGTATACAACAACTACACATGGATACAACTACACAACTACACATGGATACAACTACACAACTACACACAGTATACAACTACACACAACTACACATGGATACAACTACACAACTACACAAGTATACAACTACACAACTACACATGGATACAACTACACAACTACACATGGATACAACTACACAACTACACAAGTATACAACTACACAACTACACATGGATACAACTACTACACAACTACACCAGTATACAACTACACCACTACACAAGTATACAACTACACCACTACACAAGTATACAACTACACCACACACAAGTATACACTCCCACTACACAAGTATACAACTACACAACTACACATGGATACAACTACACAACTACACATGGATACAACTACACAACTACACATGGATACAACTACACAACTACACATGGATACAACTACACAACTACACAAGTATACACACTACACAAGTATACAACTACACAACTACACAAGTATACAACTACACCAACTACACTTGGATACAACTACACATGGCTACAACTACACAACTACACATGGATACAACTGCACAACTACACATGTATACAACTACACAACTACACATGGATACAACTACACACTACACAAGTATACTACACAACTACACATCTACTACACAAGTATACAACTACACAACTACACATGGATACAACTACAACTACACATGGATACAACTACACAACTACACAAGTATACAACTACACACTACACAAGTATACAACTACACAACTACACATGGATACAACTTCACACTACACAAGTATACAACTACACACTACACATAGATACAACTACACAACTACACAAGTATACAACTACATCACTACACATGGATACAACTACACAACTACACATGGATACAACTACACAAGTATACAACTACACAACTACACATAGATACAACTACACCACTACACAAGTATACAACTACACATGGATACAACTACACAACTACACCAGTATACAACTACACCACCACACAAGGATACAACTACACCACTACACAAGTATACAACTACACAACTACACATGGATACAACTACATCACTACACATGGATACAAATACACCACTACACAAGTATACAACTACACAACTACACATGGATACAACTACACCACTACACATGGATACAACTACACAACATGGATACAACTACACAACTACACATGGATACAACTACACAACTACACAAGTATACAACTACACCACTACACATGGATACAACTACGCAACTACACATGGATACAACTACACAAGTATACAACCATAGCACTACACATGGATACAACTACACAAGTATACAACTACATCACTACACATGGATACAACTACACAACTACACATGGATACAACTACACAAGTATACAACTACACAACTACACATAGATACAACTACACAACACATCACTACACATGGATACAACTACACAACTACACATGACACTACAACTACACAACTACACCAAGTATACAACTACACACACAAGTACACAAGTATACAACTACACCACTACACAAGTATACAACTACACCACTACACATGGATACAACTACACCACTACACATGTATACAACTACACCACTACACAATATACAACTACACCACTACACAAGTATACAAAACACAACTACACATGGATACAACTACACCAACTACACTAATACACATGGATACAAATACACAACTACACATGGATACAACTGCACAACTACACATGGATACAACTACACAACTACACATGGATACAACGCACAACTACATGGATACAACTACACAACTACACACATGGATACAACTACACAACTACACCAGTATTCAACTACACCACTACACAAGTATACAACTACACCACTACACAAGTATACAACTACACAACTACACATGGATACAACTACACAACTACACATGGATACAACTACACAACTACACATGGATACAACTGCACAACTACACATGGATACAACTACACAAGTATACATGGATACAACTACACCACTACACAAGTATACAACTACACCACTACACATGGATACAACTACGCAACTACACATGGATACAACTACACAAGTATACAACCATAGCACTACACATGGATACAACTACACAAGTATACAACTACATCACTACACATGGATACAACTACACAACTACACATGGATACAACTACACAAGTATACAACTACACCACTACACATAGATACAACTACACAACTACACAAGTATACAACTACATCACTACACATGGATACAACTACACAACTACACATGGATACAACTACACAAGTATACAACTACACAACTACACATAGATACAACTTCACCACTACACAAGTATACAACTACACATGGATACAACTACACAACTACACCAGTATACAACTACACCACCACACAAGTATACAACTACACCACTACACAAGTATACAACTACACAACTACACATGGATACAACTACATCACTACACATGGATACAACTACACCACTACACATGGATACAACTACACCACTACAGAAGTATACAACTACACCACTACACAAGTATACAAATACACAACTACACAACTACACATGGATACAACTACACAACTACACATGGATACAACTACACAACTACACATGGATACAACTGCACAACTACACATGGATACAGCTACACAAGTATACATGGATACAACTACACAACTACACATGGATACAACTACACAACTACACCAGTATTCAACTACACCACTACACAAGTATACAACTACACCACTACACAAGTATACAACTACACAACTACACATGGATACAACTACACAACTACACATGGATACAACTACACAACTACACATGGATACAACTGCACAACTACACATGGATACAACTACACAAGTATACATGGATACAACTACACCACTACACAAGTATACAACTACACCACTACACAAGTATACAACTACACAACTACACATGGATACAACTACACCACACTACACATGGATACAACTACACAAGTATACAACTACACAACTACACATGGATACAATTACACATGGATACAACTACACAAGTATACAACTACACCACTACACATGGATACAACTACACAACTACACATGGATACAACTACACCACTACACATGGATAGAACTACACCACTACACAAGTATACAACTACACAACTACACATGGATACAACTACACCAGAGTACAACTACACAACTACACATAGATACAACTTCACCACTACACAAGTATACAACTACACCTGGATACAACTACACAACTACACAAGTATACAACTACACCACTACACATGGATACAACTACACCACTACACATAGATACAACTACACCAGAATACAACTACACAACTACACATAGATACAACTACACCAGAATACAACTACACAACTACACATAGATACAACTTCACCACTACACAAGTATACAACTACACATGGATACAACTACACCAGTATACAACTACACAACTACACATGGATACAACTACACCACTACACAAGTATACAACTACACCACTACACAAGTATACAACTACACAACTACACATGGATACAACTACACCACTACACAAGTATACAACTACACCACTACACAAGTATACAACTACACAACTACACATGGATACAACTACACCACTACACATGGATACAACTACACCACTACACATGGCTACAACTACACAACTACACAAGTATACAACTACACCACTACACATGGATACAACTACACAACTACACAACTACACAAGTATACAACTACACAACTGCACATGGATACAACTACACAAGGATACAACTACACAACTACACATGGATACAACTGCACAACTACACATGGATACAACTACACGACTACACATGGATACAACTACACATGGATACAACTACACAAGTATACAACTACACCACTACACATGGATACAACTACACATGGATACAACTACACCAGAATACAACTACACAACTACACATAGATACAACTTCACCACTACACAAGTATACAACTACACATGGATACAACTACACCAGTATACAACTACACAACTACACATGGATACAACTACACAACTACACCAGTATACAACTACACAACTACACAAGTATACAACTACACCACTACACATGGATACAACTACACAACTACACATGGATACAACTGCACAACTACACATGGATACAACTACACAAGTATACATGGATACAACTACACAACTACACATGGATACAACTGCACCACTACACAAGTATACAACTACACAAGTATACAACTACACCACTACACAAGTATACAACTACACAACTACACATGGATACAACTACACAACTACACATGGATACAACTACACAAGTATACAACTACACAACTACACATGGATACAACTACACCACTACACAAGTATACAACTACACAACTACACATGGATACAACTACACAACTACACATGGATACAACTTCAGAACTACACAAGTATACAACTACACCACTACACAAGTATACAACTACACAACTAGACGTGGATACAACTACACAACTACACAAGTATACAACTACACAACTACACCAGTATACAACTACAGAAGTATACAACTACACAAGTATACAAATGCACAACTGCACAACTTCTCAGCAAGAAGGTCCTGGGTTCGAATCCCTGTCAGACCTTTCTGAGTGGAGTTTGCATGTTCTCCGCGTGTCTGCGTAGGTTTCCTCCGGGTGCTCCGGTTTCCCCTACCACTAAAAACATGTACAATAGGTCTGGCATGCGCCTGTACTGGCCCCTCCGGAAAGGAGCTGTACCATGAACCACAGACCATGTGTAAACCAGGAGAGGAGCTGTACCATGAACCACAGACCATGTGTAAACCAGGAGAGGAGCTGTACCATGAACCACAGACCATGTGTAAACCAGGAGAGGAGCTGTACCATGAACCACAGACTATGTGTAAACCAGGAGAGGAGCTGTACCATGGACCACAGACCATATGTAAACCAGGAGAGGAGCTGTACCATGAACCACAGACTATGTGTAAACCAGGAGAGGAGCTGTACCATGGACCACAGACCATATGTAAACCAGGAGAGGAGCTGTACCATGAACCACAGACTATGTGTAAACCAGGAGAGGAGCTGTACCATGGACCACAGACCATGTGTAAAACAAGATGGGCTGTACCATGGACCACAGACCGTGTGTAAACCAGGAGGAGCTGTACCATGGACCACAGACCATGTGTAAACCAGGAGAGAAGCTGTACCATGGACCACAGACCATGTGTAATCCAGGAGAGGAGCTGTACCATGGACCACAGACCATGTGTAAACCAAGAGAGGAGCTGTACCATGGACCACAGACCATGTGTAATCCAGGAGAGGAGCTGTACCATGGACCACAGACCATGTGTAAACAAAGAGAGGAGCTGTACCATGGACCACAGACCATGTGTAAACCAGGAGAGGAGCTGTACCATGGACCACAGACCATGTGTAAACCAGGAGAGGAGCTGTACCATGGACCACAGACCATGTGTAAACCATGAGATGAGCTGTACCATGGACCACAGACCATGTGTAAACCATGAGATGAGCTGTACCATGGAGAGGAGCTGTACCATGGACCACAGACCATGTGTAAACCAGGAGAGGAGCTGTACCATGGAGAGGAGCTGTACCATGGACCACAGACCATGTGTAAACCATGAGAGGAGCTGAACCATGGACTATAGACCATGTGTAAACCATGAGAAGAGCTGTACCATGGACCACAGACCATGTGTAAACCAGGAGAGGAGCAAACAAACACAAAGATGATGATTTTCAAACTGAAGAAGATTTAAAACAAACTGTACATAACTTATGTACCACAACAAACTCTTTATCACAGGTACAGGTGAGGTATATCACAGGTACATTGTACGATTGTTAAACAATTTATTTGTAAGGTTCGAGAGACCAGAGAGAGACCAGAGAGACCAGAGAGAGACCAGAGAGAGAGCAGAGAGACCAGAGAAAGACAAGAGAGAGACCAGAGAGAGAGACCAGAGAGAGACCAGAGAGAGACCAGAGAGAGACCAGAGAGAGACCAGAGAGAGACCAGAGAGAGACCAGAGAGAGACCAGAGAGAGACCAGAGAGAGACCAGAGAGACCAGAGAGAGACCAGAGAGAGAGCAGAGAGACCAGAGAAAGACAAGAGAGAGACCAGAGAGAGAGACCAGAGAGAGACCAGAGAGAGACCAGAGAGAGACCAGAGAGAGACCAGAGAGAGACCAGAGAGAGACCAGAGAGAGACCAGAGAGAGACCAGAGAGAGACCAGAGAGACCAGAGAGAGACCAGAGAGAGACCAGAGAGAGACCAGAGAGACCAGAGAGAGACCAGAGAGAGACCAGAGAGAGACCAGAGAGAGACCAGAGAGACCAGAGAGAGACCAGAGAGAGACCAGAGAGAGACCAGAGAGACCAGAGAGAGACCAGAGAGAGACCAGAGAGAGACCAGAGAGAGAGACCAGAGAGAGACCAGAGAGAGACCAGAGAGAGACCAGAGAGAGACCAGAGAGACCAGAGAGAGACCAGAGAGAGACCAGAGAGAGACCAGAGAGACCAGAGAGAGACCAGAGAGAGACCAGAGAGAGAGCAGAGAGAGACCAGAGAGAGAGACCAGAGAGAGAGCAGAGAGAGACCAGAGAGAGAGCAGAGAGAGACCAGAGAGAGACCAGAGAGACCAGAGAGAGACCAGAGAGAGACCAGAGAGAGAGACCAGAGAGAGAGACCAGAGAGAGACCAGAGAGACCAGAGAGAGACCAGAGAGAGAGCAGAGAGACCAGAGAAAGACCAGAGAGAGACCAGAGAGACCAGAGAAAGACAAGAGAGAGACCAGAGAGAGACCAGAGAGAGACCAGAGAGAGACCAGAGAGAGACCAGAGAGAGACCAGAGAGAGACCAGAGAGACCAGAGAGAGACCAGAGAGAGAGACCAGAGAGAGACCAGAGAGAGACCAGAGAGAGACCAGAGAGAGACCAGAGAGAGACCAGAGAGAGACCAGAGAGAGAGACCAGAGAGAGACCAGAGAGAGACCAGAGAGAGACCAGAGAGAGACCAGAGAGACCAGAGAGAGACCAGAGAGAGACCAGAGAGAGACCAGAGAGACCAGAGAGAGACCAGAGAGAGACCAGAGAGAGAGACCAGAGAGAGAGCAGAGAGAGACCAGAGAGAGAGCAGAGAGAGACCAGAGAGAGACCAGAGAGAGACCAGAGAGACCAGAGAGAGACCAGAGAGAGACCAGAGAGAGACCAGAGAGAGACCAGAGAGAGACCAGAGAGAGACCAGAGAGAGACCAGAGAGAGAGACCAGAGAGAGACCAGAGAGAGACCAGAGAGAGACCAGAGAGAGACCAGAGAGAGACCAGAGAGACCAGAGAGAGACCAGAGAGAGACCAGAGAGAGACCAGAGAGACCAGAGAGAGACCAGAGAGAGACCAGAGAGAGACCAGAGAGAGACCAGAGAGAGACCAGAGAGAGACCAGAGAGAGACCAGAGAGAGACCAGAGAGAGACCAGAGAGAGACCAGAGAGAGACCAGAGAGAGACCAGAGAGACCAGAGAGAGACCAGAGAGAGACCAGAGAGAGACCAGAGAGAGAGACCAGAGAGAGACCAGAGAGAGACCAGAGAGAGACCAGAGAGAGACCAGAGAGACCAGAGAGAGACCAGAGAGAGACCAGAGAGAGACCAGAGAGACCAGAGAGAGACCAGAGAGAGACCAGAGAGAGAGACCAGAGAGAGAGCAGAGAGAGACCAGAGAGAGAGCAGAGAGAGACCAGAGAGAGACCAGAGAGAGACCAGAGAGAGACCAGAGAGAGAGACCAGAGAGAGACCAGAGAGAGAGCAGAGAGAGACCAGAGAGAGAGACCAGAGAGAGACCAGTGAGAGACCAGAGAGAGAGCAGAGTGGTGCTGTATTCTTCAATGGGATCCTGGCCCCTCCCCCTCCTCTGCTCAGAGTAAAACCAGAGCGCAGCAGAGATGCTCCACAGAACTGCATCCTCCTCCACTCTGATGTGCTCTGCATCTGGAGTCTCCCCCTCTGCCTCTGGAGTCTCCCCCTCTGCCTCTCGAGTCTCCCCCCTCCCGGACACCATGGACTACAGTCGCTGGAGCTGAGCTTGGGAGCGAGTTGGATTCTGTTGCAGAGGTTTTCCTGTTTCCTGTTTGTGGCGTTGGGGGCGGAGTCTCGGCTCGGACCCCGGTCCTGGACTCATGATGGCTCTCGTGGTTCACCTGAAGACCGTGGAGGACCTGAAGGGGAGGAGCGACCGCATCGCTAAAGTCACATTCAGAGGTAAGAGAGACACGCACCAGAGAGAGACCAGGGAGAGACCAGAGAGAGACCAGGGAGAGACCAGAGAGAGACCAGAGAGAGACCAGGGAGAGACCAGGGAGAGACCAGGGAGAGACCAGGGAGAGACCAGGGAGAGACCAGGGAGAGACCAGAGAGAGACCAGGGAGAGACCAGGGAGAGACCAGGGAGAGACCAGAGAGAGACCAGAGAGAGACCAGGGAGAGACCAGAGAGAGACCAGGGAGAGACCAGAGAGAGACCAGAGAGAGACCAGGGAGAGACCAGGGAGAGACCAGAGAGAGACCAGAGAGAGACCAGGGAGAGACCAGAGAGAGAGACCAGAGAGAGACCAGAGAGAGAGACCAGGGAGAGACCAGAGAGAGACCAGGGAGAGACCAGGGAGAGACCAGGGAGAGACCAGAGAGAGACCAGAGAGAGACCAGGGAGAGACCAGAGAGAGACCAGGGAGAGACCAGAGAGAGACCAGAGAGAGAGACCAGAGAGAGACCAGAGAGAGAGACCAGGGAGAGACCAGAGAGAGACCAGAGGGAGACCAGGGAGAGACCAGGGAGAGACCAGAGAGAGACCAGAGAGAGACCAGAGATAGACCAGAGAGAGACCAGAGAGAGACCAGAGAGAGACCAGAGAGAGACCAGGGAGAGACCAGGGAGAGACCAGAGAGAGACCAGAGAGAGACCAGAGATAGACCAGAGAGAGAGCAGGGAGAGACCAGAGAGAGACCAGAGAGAGACCAGGGAGAGACCAGGGAGAGACCAGGGAGAGACCAGAGAGAGACCAGAGAGAGACCAGAGAGAGACCAGAGAGAGACCAGAGAGAGACCAGAGAGAGACCAGGGAGAGACCAGGGAGAGACCAGGGAGAGACCAGAGAGAGACCAGAGAGAGACCAGAGAGAGACCAGAGAGAGACCAGAGAGAGACCAGAGAGAGACCAGGGAGAGACCAGGGAGAGACCAGGGAGAGACCAGGGAGAGACCAGAGAGAGACCAGGGAGAGACCAGGGAGAGACCAGAGAGAGACCAGAGAGAGAGACCAGAGAGAGACCAGAGAGAGAGACCAGGGAGAGACCAGGGAGAGACCAGAGAGAGACCAGAGAGAGAGACCAGAGAGAGACCAGAGAGAGAGACCAGAGAGAGACCAGGGAGAGACCAGGGAGAGACCAGAGAGAGACCAGAGAGAGACCAGAGAGAGACCAGGGAGAGACCAGAGAGAGACCAGGGAGAGACCAGAGAGAGAGACCAGAGAGAGAGACCAGGGAGAGACCAGGGAGAGACCAGAGAGAGACCAGAGAGAGACCAGAGAGAGACCAGGGAGAGACCAGGGAGAGACCAGGGAGAGACCAGAGAGAGAGACAGAGAGAGAGACCAGAGAGAGACCAGAGAGAGACCAGAGAGAGAGAGACCAGAGAGAGACCAGAGAGAGACCAGAGAGAGACCAGAGAGAGACCAGAGAGAGACCAGGAGAGACCAGAGAGAGACCAGAGAGAGACAGACAGAGACCAGAGAGACAGAGAGAGACCAGAGAGAGACCAGAGAGAGACCAGAGAGAGACCAGAGAGAGACCAGAGAGAGACCAGAGAGAGACCAGAGAGAGACCAGAGAGAGACCAGGGAGAGACCAGAGAGAGACCAGGGAGAGACCAGAGAGAGAGACCAGAGAGAGAGACCAGAGAGAGACCAGGGAGAGACCAGAGAGAGACCAGAGAGAGAGACCAGAGAGAGACCAGAGAGAGAGACCAGAGAGAGACCAGGGAGAGACCAGGGAGAGACCAGAGAGAGACCAGGGAGAGACCAGGGAGAGACCAGGGAGAGACCAGAGAGAGACCAGAGAGAGACCAGAGAGAGACCAGGGAGAGACCAGGGAGAGACCAGGGAGAGACCAGGGAGAGACCAGAGAGAGACCAGGGAGAGACCAGGGAGAGACCAGAGAGAGACCAGAGAGAGAGACCAGAGAGAGACCAGAGAGAGACCAGGGAGAGACCAGAGAGAGACCAGAGGGAGACCAGGGAGAGACCAGAGAGAGACCAGAGAGAGATTCTTCAATCCTGAAGAATCTCTGGGAGAGACCAGAGAGAGAGCAGAGAGAGACCAGAGAGAGACCAGAGAGAGACCAGAGAGAGACCAGGGAGAGACCAGGGAGAGACCAGAGAGAGACCAGAGAGAGACCAGAGAGAGACCAGAGAGAGACCAGAGAGAGACCAGAGAGAGACCAGGGAGAGACCAGAGATAGACCAGAGAGAGAGCAGAGAGAGACCAGAGAGAGACCAGAGAGAGACCAGGGAGAGACCAGGGAGAGACCAGGGAGAGACCAGAGAGAGACCAGAGAGAGACCAGAGAGAGACCAGAGAGAGACCAGAGAGAGACCAGGGAGAGACCAGGGAGAGTCACCAGGAGAGACCAGAGAGAGACCAGAGAGAGACCAGGGAGAGACCAGGGAGAGACCAGGGAGAGACCAGAGAGAGAGACCAGAGAGAGACCAGAGAGAGAGACCAGAGAGAGACCAGAGAGAGACCAGAGAGAGACCAGGAGAGACCAGGGAGGACCAGAGACCAGGGAGAGACCAGGGAGAGACTCTGGGTCTCGCTTTGGTCTCTCTCTGGTCTCTCTCTGGTCCTTCTCAGTCCCTTTGATGGTGTGTGTGACTGGTCCATAGTTTGATGTTTGTGTCGGAGCCTGAGGCTGCAGCAGGAGATGAAACCAACACAACAGAATCAGAATCAGAATCATTTTTATTGCCAACAGTATCGAGTGTCCAGCTGTGTAGAGGTGGGGGCCACAGGTACGAGGCCCCACAGGTACAAAGACACACAGGTACGAGGCCCCACAGGTACAAAGACACAAAGGTACAAGGGCCCACAGGTACAAAGACACACAGGTACGAGGCCCCACAGGTACAAAGACACAAAGGTACAAGGGCCCACAGGTACAAAGACACACAGGTACGAGGCCCCACAGGTACAAAGACACAAAGGTACAAGGGCCCACAGGTACAAAGACACACAGGTACGAGGCCCCACAGGTACAAAGACACACAGGTACGAGGCCCCACAGGTAGAAAGACACACAGGTACGAGGGCCCACAGGTACAAAGACACACAGGTACGAGGCCCCACAGGTACAAAGACACACAGGTACGAGGCCCCACATGTACAAAGACACACGGGTACGAGGCCCCACAGGTACAAAGACACACAGATACGAGGCCCCACAGGTACAAAGACACAAAGGTACAAGGGCCCACAGGTACAAAGACACACAGGTACGAGGCCCCACAGGTACAAAGACACAAAGGTACAAGGGCCCACAGGTACAAAGACACACAGGTACGAGGCCCCACAGGTACAAAGACACACAGGTACGAGGCCCCACAGGTAGAAAGACACACAGGTACGAGGGCCCACAGGTACAAAGACACAAAGGTACAAGGGCCCACAGGTACAAAGACACACAGGTACGAGGGCCCACAGGTACAAAGACACACAAGTACGAGGGCCCACAGGTACGAGGGCCCACAGGTACAAAGACACAAAGGTACGAGGGCCCACAGGTACAAAGACACACAGGTACGAGGCCCCACAGGTACGAGGGCCTGCTCCATCCAATAAGGATTCAGATTAATTTATTTGCCATTTGCAGTAAAACCACATTGGAAAAACTATGCAAGACTACCCCAGTGTGCACCAGATGGATGGACTTTAGTATAATAAAGAAACACGTAATACGTATCTACCTTTAAACACCCTTAGCAAACCTATGCAGACACGGAGAGAACATGCAAACCCCACACAGAAAGGTGGAGATGCAACCCCACCGTCCAACCCCAGGACCTTCTTGCTGTGAGGCATGAGCTCTAACCACTGTCTCTGTGTCGCTGCAGCAGAAGAAGTGTCTTTGAAGAGTGCTTTAATAAACACCTGTGGCACCTGCTCCCAGAGGTCTCCCATCACTGCACTAACCAGGCCCTGCCCTGCTTATATCACATGAGTGTGTCACATGATTGTCCAACAACAACCACCACCCAACAACAACAACCGTCCAACAACAACCACGATCCAACAACAACCACCATCCAACAACAACCGTCCAACAACCACCATCCAACAACAACAACCGTCCAACAACCACCATCCAACAACAACCACCGTCCAACAACAACCACCGTCCAACAACAACAACCACCGTCAGACAACAACCATCCAACAACAACCACCGTCCAACAACAACCATCCAACAACAACCACCGTCCAACAACAACCACTGTCCAACAACAACCATCGTCCAAAACCAACCACTGTCCAACAACCATCATCCAACAACAACCACCATCCAACAACAACCACCATCCAACAACAACCATCCAACAACAACCATCCAACAACAACCACCGTCCAACAACCACCATCCAACAACAACCACCGTCCAACAACAACCACCGTCCAACAACAACCACCGTCCAACAACCACCATCCAACAACCATCGTCCAACAACAACCACCGTCCAACAACAACAATCGTCCAAAACCAACCACTGTCCAACAACAACCATCCAACAACAACCACCGTCCAACAACCACCATCCAACAACAACCACCGTCCAACAACAACCACCGTCCAACAACAACCACCATCCAACAACAACCACCGTCCAACAACAACCACCGTCCAACAACCACCATCCAACAACAACCACCATCCAACAACAACCACCGTCCAACAACCACCATCCAACAACCACCATCCAACAACAACCATCCAACAACAACCATCCAACAACCACCATCTAACAACAACTATCCAACAACAACCATCCAACAACCACCATCCAACAACAACCACCGTCCAACAACCACCATCCAACAACAACCACCATCCAACAACAACCACCGTCCAACAACCACCGTCCAACAACAACCACCATCCAACAACAACCACCATCCAACAACAACCACCGTCCAACAACCACCATCCAACAACAACCATCAAACAACAACCATCCAACAACCACCATCTAACAACAACTATCCAACAACAACCATCCAACAACCACCATCCAACAACAACCACCGTCCAACAACAACCACCGTCCAACAACCACCATCCAACAACAACAACCGTCCAACAACAACCATCCAACAACAACCACCGTCCAACAACAACCACCGTCCAACAACAACCACCGTCCAACAACAACCATCCAACAACAACCACCAACAACCACCATCCAACAACAACCACCGTCCAACAACAACCACCGTCCAACAACAACCATCCAACAACAACCGTCCAACAACCACCATCCAACAACAACCACCGTCCAACAACAACCATCCAACAACAACCACCGTCCAACAACAACCATCCAACAACAACCACCGTCCAACAACAACAATCTTCCAACAACAACCACCGTCCAACAACAACCATCCAACAACAACCACCATCCAACAACAACCATCCAACAACAACCATCCAACAACAACCACCGTCCAACAACCACCATCCAACAACAACCACCGTCCAACAACAACCATCCAACAACAACCACCACTCCAACAACCACCATCCAACAACCACGTCCAACAAACAACCACCGTCCAACAACAACCACGTCCAACAACACAACCGTCCAACAACAACCACCAAACAACAACCACCATCCAACAACCACCATCCAACAACAACCACCGTCCAACAACAACCACCGTCCAACAACAACACCATCCAACAACAACCACCATCCAACAACAACCACCGTCCAACAACCACCATCCAACAACAACCATCCAACAACAACCATCCAACAACCACCATCCAACAACAACCATCCAACAACCACCATCCAACAACCACCATCCAACAACAACCACCGTCCAACAACAACCACCGTCCAACAACAACCACCGTCCAACAACAACCACCATCCAACAACAACCACCGTCCAACAACAACCACCGTCCAACAACAACCACCGTCCAACAACAACCACCGTCCAACAAAAACCATCCAACAACAACCACCGTCCAACAACAACCACCGTCCAACAACAACCACCGTCCAACAAACCACCATCCAACAACAACCACCGTCCAACAACAACCACCATCCAACAACAACCACCATCCAACAACAACCACCGTCCAACAACAACCATCCAACAACAACCACCATCCAACAACAACCACCGTCCAACAACCACCATCCAACGACAACCATCCAACAACAACCATCCAACAACAACCGTCCAACAACAACCGTCCAACAACCACCGTCCAACAACAACCACCATCCAACAACAACAACCATCGTCCAACAACAACCACCGCCCAAAAACAACCACCGTCCAACAACAACCACCGTCCAATAACCACCATTTTGGACGGTGGTTGTTGGACGGGGGACCATCAACAACCACCATCCAACAACAACCACCATCCAACAACAACCACCGTCCAACAACAACCATCCAACAACAACCACCATCCAACAACCACCATCCAACAACAACCACCGACCAACAACAACCACGTCCAACAACAACACCATCCAACAACAACCACCCTCCAACAACCACCGTCCAACAACAACCACCATCCAACAACAACCACCGTCCAACAACAACCATCCAACAACAACCACCGTCCAACAACCACCGTCCAACAACCACCGTCCAACAACAACCACCATCCAACAACAACCACCATCCAACAACAACCATCCAACAACAACCACCGTCCAACAACCACCATCCAACAACAACCACCGTCCAACAACAACCATCCAACAACAACCACCGTCCAACAACAACCACCATCCAACAACAACCACCATCCAACAACAACCACCATCCAACAACAACCACCATCCAACAACAACCACCGTCCAACAACCACCATCCAACAACAACCACCGTCCAACAACAACCATCCAACAACAACCACCATCCAACAACCACCATCCAACAACAACCACCGTCCAACAACAACCACCGTCCAACAACAACCATCGTCCAACAACAACCACCGTCCAACAACAACCATCCAACAACAACCACCGTCCAACAACCACCGTCCAACAACAACCACCATCCAACAACAACCACCGTCCAACAACCACCGTCCAACAACAACCACCATCCAACAACAACCACCATCCAACAACAACCACCGTCCAACAACCACCATCCAACAACAACCATCCAACAACAACCACCGTCCAACAACAACCACCGTCCAACAACAACCACCGTCCAACAACAACCACCATCCAACAACAACCACCGTCCAATAACAACCACCGTCCAATAACAACCACCGTCCAATAACAACAACCGTCCAACAACAACCATCGTCCAACAACAACCACCGCCCAACAACAACCATCCAACAACAACCACCGTCCAACAACCACCATCCAACAACAACCACCGTCCAATAACAACCACCGTCCAACAACCACCGTCCAACAACAACCACCATCCAACAACAACCACCGTCAAACAACAACCACTGTCCAACAACAACCATCGTCAAACACCAACCACCGTCCAACAACAACCGTCCAACAACAACCGTCCAACAACAACCGTCCAACAACAACCAACACCCACCAACAACAACCACATCCAACAACAACCACCATCCACAACAACCACCTCCAACAACAACCACCATCCAACAACAACCATCGTCCAACAACAACCATCCAACAACAACCACCCTCCAACAACAACCACCGTCCAACAACAACCACCGTCCAACAACAACCATCGTCCAACACCAACCACCGTCCAACAACAACCGTCCAACAACCACCATCCAACAACAACCACCATCCAACAGCAACAACCATCCATCAACAAACACCCAACAACAACGACCACCGTCCAACAACAACCATCGTCCAACAACACAACCATCCAACAACAACCATCCAACAACCCAACAAACACCACACCACCCAACAACAACCACCGTCCAACAACACACACCACCGTCCAACAACAACCACCATCCAACAACAACACACATCCAACAACAACCGTCCAACAACAACCACTCCAACAACCACCGTCCAACAACAACCATCCAACAACAACCATCCAACAACAACCACCATCCAACAACAACCACCATCCAACAACAACCACCGTCCAACAACAACCATCGTCCAACAACAACCATCCAACAACAACCATCCAACAACAACCGTCCAACAACAACCGTCCAACAACCACTGTCCAACAACAACCACCATCCAACAACAACAACCATCCATCAACAACCACCATCCAACAACAACCACCGTCCAACAACAACCATCGTCCAACAACAACCATCCAACAACAACCACCCTCCAACAACAACCATCCAACAACAACCACCATCCAACAACCACCATCCAACAACAACCACCCTCCAACAACCACCGTCCAACAACAACCACCATCCAACAACAACCATCGTCCAACAACAACCATCCAACAACAACCACCGTCCAACAACCACCGTCCAACAACAACCACCATCCAACAACAACCACCATCCAACAACAACCATCCAACAACAACCACCGTCCAACAACCACCATCCAACAACAACCACCGTCCAACAACAACCATTCAACAACAACCACCTTCCAACAACCACCATCCAACAACAACTACCCTCCAATAACAACCACCATCCAACAACAACCACCATCCAACAACAACCATCCAACAACAACCACCGTCCAACAACCACCATCCAACAACAACCACCGTCCAACAACAACCATCCAACAACAACCACCATCCAACAACCACCATCCAACAACAACCACCGTCCAACAACAACCACCGTCCAACAACAACCACCGTCCAACAACAACCATCGTCCAAAACCAACCACTGTCCAACAACAACCATCCAACAACAACCACCGTCCAACAACCACCGTCCAACAACAACCACCATCCAACAACAACCACCGTCCAACAACAACCACCATCCAACAACAACCACCATCCAACAACAACCACCGTCCAACAACCACCATCCAACAACAACCATCCAACAACAACCACCGTCCAACAACAACCATCGTCCAACACCAGCCACCGTCCAACAACAACCACCATCCAACAACAACCACCGTCCAATAACAACCACCGTCCAATAACAACCACCGTCCAATAACAACCACCGTCCAACAACAACCATCGTCCAACAACAACCACCGCCCAACAACAACCATCCAACAACAACCACCGTCCAACAACCACCATCCAACAACAACCACCGTCCAATAACAACCACCGTCCAACAACCACCGTCCAACAACAACCACCATCCAACAACAACCACCGTCAAACAACAACCACTGTCCAACAACAACCATCGTCAAACACCAACCACCGTCCAACAACAACCGTCCAACAACAACCGTCCAACAACCACCATCCAACAACAACAACCATCCATCAACAAACACCCAACAACAACGACCACCATCCAACAACAACCATCGTCCAACAACAACCATCCAATAACAACCACCCTCCAACAACAACCACCGTCAAACAACAACCACTGTCCAACAACAACCATCGTCCAACACCAACCACCGTCCAACAACAACCGTCCAACAACAACCGTCCAACAACCACCATCCAACAACAACCACCATCCAACAACAACAACCATCCATCAACAAACACCCAACAACAACGACCACCGTCCAACAACAACCATCGTCCAACAACAACCATCCAACAACAACCATCCAACAACAACCACCCTCCAACAACCACCATCCAACAACAACCACCATCCAACAACCACCATCCAACAACAACCACCGTCCAACAACAACCACCATCCAACAACAACCATCGTCCAACAACAACCATCCAACAACAACCATCCAACAACCACCCTCCAACAACCACCATCCAACAACCACCACCATCCAACAACAAACACCGTCCAAAAACAACCACCATCCAACAACAACCATCGTCCAACAACAACCATCCAACAACAACCACCGTCCAACAACAACCACCGTCCAACAACAACCACCGTCCAACAACAACCATCGTCCAACAACAACCACCGTCCAACAACAACCACGTCCAACAACAACCACCGTCCAACAACCACCGTCCAACAACAACCACCGTCCAACAAAAACCATCCAACAACAACCATCGTCCAACAACAACCATCCAACAACAACGACCATCCAACAACAACCATCCAACAACAACCACCATCCAACAACAACCACCATCCAACACCAACCACTGTCCAACAACAACCACCATCCAACAACAACCACTGTCCAACAACCACCGTCCAACAACAACCACCATCCAACAACAACCGTCCAACAACCACCATCCAACAACAACAACCGTCCAACAACAACCATCCAACAACATCCGTCCAACAACCACCATCAAACAACATCCACCGTCCAACAACCACCATCCAACAACAACCACCGTCCAACAACCACCATCCAACAACAACCACCGTCCAACAACAACAATCGTCCAACACCAACCACCGTCCAACAACAACCATCCAACAACAACCACCGTCCAACAACCACCATCCAACAACAACCACCGTCCAACAACAACCACCGTCCAACAACAACCACCGTCCAACAACAACCATCCAACAACAACCACCGTCCAACAACAACCATCCAACAACAACCACCGTCCAACAACAACCATCCAACAACAACCACCGTCCAAAACCAACCACTGTCCAACAACCATCATCCAACAACAACCACCATCCAACAACAACCACCATCCAACAACAACCATCCAACAACAACCATCCAACAACAACCACCGTCCAACAACCACCATCCAACAACAACCACCGTCCAACAACAACCATCCAACAACAACCACCATCCAACAACCACCATCCAACAACCATCGTCCAACAACAACCACCGTCCAACAACAACAATCGTCCAACACCAACAACCGTCCAACAACAACCATCCAACAACAACCACCGTCCAACAACCACCATCCAACAACAACCACCGTCCAACAACTACCACCGTCATACAACAACCACCATCCAACAACAACCACCATCCAACAACAACCACCGTCCAACAACCACCATCCAACAACAACCATCCAACAACAACCATCCAACAACCACCATCCAACAACAACCATCCAACAACCACCATCCAACAACCACCATCCAACAACAACCACCGTCCAACAACAACCACCGTCCAACAACAACCACTGTCCAACAACAACCACCGTCCAACAACAACCACCATCCAACAACAACCACCGTCCAACAACAACCACCGTCCAACAACAACCACCGTCCAACAACAACCACCGTCCAACAACAACCACCGTCCAACAACAACCACCGTCCAACAACAACCACCGTCCAACATCAACCACCATCCAACAACAACCACCGTCCAACAACAACCACCATCCAACAACAACCACCATCCAACAACAACCACCGTCCAACAACAACCACCATCCAACAACAACCACCATCCAACAACAACCACCATCCAACAACAACCATCCAACAACAACCACCGTCCAACAACAACCACCGTCCAACAACAACCACCGTCCAACAACAACCGTCCAACAACAACCACCATCCAACAACAACCACCATCCAACAACAACCATCCAACAACAACCACCGTCCAACAACAACCATCCAACAACAACCACCGTCCAACAACCACCATCCAACAACAACCACCGTCCAACAACCACCGTCCAACAACAACCACCATCCAACAACAACCACCATCCAACAACAACCACCATCCAACAACAACCACCGTCCAACAACCACCATCCAACAAGAACCATCCAACAACAACCATCCAACAACAACCATCCAACAACAACCACCGTCCAACAACAACCACCGTCCAACAACAACCATCGTCCAACACCAGCCACCGTCCAACAACAACCACCATCCAACAACAACCACCGTCCAACAACAACCATCCAACAACAACCATCCAACAACAACCAACGTCCAACAACAACCACCGTCCAACAACAACCATCGTCCAACAACAACCATCGTCCAACAACAACCATCGTCCAACAACAACCACCGCCCAAAAACAACCACCATCCAACAACAACCACCGTCCAATAACCACCATCCAACAACAACCACCGTCCAACAACAACCACCGTCCAACAACAACCATCGTCCAACACCAACCACCGTCCAACAACAACCATCCAACAACAACCATCCAACAACCATCCAACAACAACCACCGTCCAACAACCACCATCCAACAACAACCACCGTCCACAACAACCACCGTCCAACAACAACCACCGTCCAACAACAACCACCGTCCAACAACAACCACCGTCCAACAACAACCATCGTCCAAAACCAACCACTGTCCAACAACCACCATCCAACAACAACCACCGTCCAACAACCACCGTCCAACAACAACCACCATCCAACAACAACCACCGTCCAACAACCACCGTCCAACAACAACCACCATCCAACAACAACCACCATCCAACAACAACCACCGTCCAACAACCACCATCCAACAACAACCATCCAACAACAACCAACCAACAACAACAACCATCCAACAACAACCACCATCCAACAACAACCACCGTCCAACAACCACCATCCAACGACAACCATCCAACAACAACAACAACAACAACCAACAACAACCGTCCAACAACAACCGTCCAACAACCACCGTCACCACCTTAACCCTAACCTTAACCATCTTACTCAGACCACCTTAACCCTAACCTTAACCATCTTACTCAGACCACCTTAACCCTAACCTTAACCATCTTACTCAGACCACCTTAACCCTAACCTTAACCATCTTACTCAGACCACCTTAACCCTAACCTTAACCATCTTACTCAGACCACCTTAACCCTAACCTTAACCATCTTACTCAGACCACCTTAACCCTAACCTTAACCATCTTACTCAGACCACCTTAACCCTAACCTTAACCATCTTACTCAGACCACCTTAACCCTAACCTTAACCATCTTACTCAGACCACCTTAACCCTAACCTTAACCATCTTACTCAGACCACCTTAACCCTAACCTTAACCATCTTACTCAGACCACCTTAACCCTAACCTTAACCATCTTACTCAGACCACCTTAACCCTAACCTTAACCATCTTACTCAGACCACCTTAACCCTAACCTTAACCATCTTACTCAGACCACCTTAACCCTAACCTTAACCATCTTACTCAGACCACCTTAACCCTAACCTTAACCATCTTACTCAGACCACCTTAACCCTAACCTTAACCATCTTACTCAGACCACCTTAACCCTAACCTTAACCATCTTACTCAGACCACCTTAACCCTAACCTTAACCATCTTACTCAGACCACCTTAACCCTAACCTTAACCATCTTACTCAGACCACCTTAACCCTAACCTTAACCATCTTACTCAGACCACCTTAACCCTAACCTTAACCATCTTACTCAGACCACCTTAACCCTAACCTTAACCATCTTACTCAGACCACCTTAACCCTAACCTTAACCATCTTACTCAGACCACCTTAACCCTAACCTTAACCATCTTACTCAGACCACCTTAACCCTAACCTTAACCATCTTACTCAGACCACCTTAACCCTAACCTTAACCATCTTACTCAGACCACCTTAACCCTAACCTTAACCATCTTACTCAGACCACCTTAACCCTAACCTTAACCATCTTACTCAGACCACCTTAACCCTAACCTTAACCATCTTACTCAGACCACCTTAACCCTAACCTTAACCATCTTACTCAGACCACCTTAACCCTAACCTTAACCATCTTACTCAGACCACCTTAACCCTAACCTTAACCATCTTACTCAGACCACCTTAACCCTAACCTTAACCATCTTACTCAGACCACCTTAACCCTAACCTTAACCATCTTACTCAGACCACCTTAACCCTAACCTTAACCATCTTACTCAGACCACCTTAACCCTAACCTTAACCATCTTACTCAGACCACCTTAACCCTAACCTTAACCATCTTACTCAGACCACCTTAACCCTAACCTTAACCATCTTACTCAGACCACCTTAACCCTAACCTTAACCATCTTACTCAGACCACCTTAACCCTAACCTTAACCATCTTACTCAGACCACCTTAACCCTAACCTTAACCATCTTACTCAGACCACCTTAACCCTAACCTTAACCATCTTACTCAGACCACCTTAACCCTAACCTTAACCATCTTACTCAGACCACCTTAACCCTAACCTTAACCATCTTACTCAGACCACCTTAACCCTAACCTTAACCATCTTACTCAGACCACCTTAACCCTAACCTTAACCATCTTACTCAGACCACCTTAACCCTAACCTTAACCATCTTACTCAGACCACCTTAACCCTAACCTTAACCATCTTACTCAGACCACCTTAACCCTAACCTTAACCATCTTACTCAGACCACCTTAACCCTAACCTTAACCATCTTACTCAGACCACCTTAACCCTAACCTTAACCATCTTACTCAGACCACCTTAACCCTAACCTTAACCATCTTACTCAGACCACCTTAACCCTAACCTTAACCATCTTACTCAGACCACCTTAACCCTAACCTTAACCATCTTACTCAGACCACCTTAACCCTAACCTTAACCATCTTACTCAGACCACCTTAACCCTAACCTTAACCATCTTACTCAGACCACCTTAACCCTAACCTTAACCATCTTACTCAGACCACCTTAACCCTAACCTTAACCATCTTACTCAGACCACCTTAACCCTAACCTTAACCATCTTACTCAGACCACCTTAACCCTAACCTTAACCATCTTACTCAGACCACCTTAACCCTAACCTTAACCATCTTACTCAGACCACCTTAACCCTAACCTTAACCATCTTACTCAGACCACCTTAACCCTAACCTTAACCATCTTACTCAGACCACCTTAACCCTAACCTTAACCATCTTACTCAGACCACCTTAACCCTAACCTTAACCATCTTACTCAGACCACCTTAACCCTAACCTTAACCATCTTACTCAGACCACCTTAACCCTAACCTTAACCATCTTACTCAGACCACCTTAACCCTAACCTTAACCATCTTACTCAGACCACCTTAACCCTAACCTTAACCATCTTACTCAGACCACCTTAACCCTAACCTTAACCATCTTACTCAGACCACCTTAACCCTAACCTTAACCATCTTACTCAGACCACCTTAACCCTAACCTTAACCATCTTACTCAGACCACCTTAACCCTAACCTTAACCATCTTACTCAGACCACCTTAACCCTAACCTTAACCATCTTACTCAGACCACCTTAACCCTAACCTTAACCATCTTACTCAGACCACCTTAACCCTAACCTTAACCATCTTACTCAGACCACCTTAACCCTAACCTTAACCATCTTACTCAGACCACCTTAACCCTAACCTTAACCATCTTACTCAGACCACCTTAACCCTAACCTTAACCATCTTACTCAGACCACCTTAACCCTAACCTTAACCATCTTACTCAGACCACCTTAACCTACTAACCACTTAACCTAACCTAACCATCTTACTCAGACCACCTTAACCCTAACCTTAACCATCTTACTCAGACCACCTTAACCCTAACCTTAACCATCTTACTCAGACCACCTTAACCCTAACCTTAACCATCTTACTCAGACCACCTTAACCCTAACCTTAACCATCTTACTCAGACCACCTTAACCCTAACCTTAACCATCTTACTCAGACCACCTTAACCCTAACCTTAACCATCTTACTCAGACCACCTTAACCCTAACCTTAACCATCTTACTCAGACCACCTTAACCCTAACCTTAACCATCTTACTCAGACCACCTTAACCCTAACCTTAACCATCTTACTCAGACCACCTTAACCCTAACCTTAACCATCTTACTCAGACCACCTTAACCCTAACCTTAACCATCTTACTCAGACCACCTTAACCCTAACCTTAACCATCTTACTCAGACCACCTTAACCCTAACCTTAACCATCTTACTCAGACCACCTTAACCCTAACCTTAACCATCTTACTCAGACCACCTTAACCCTAACCTTAACCATCTTACTCAGACCACCTTAACCCTAACCTTAACCATCTTACTCAGACCACCTTAACCCTAACCTTAACCATCTTACTCAGACCACCTTAACCCTAACCTTAACCATCTTACTCAGACCACCTTAACCCTAACCTTAACCATCTTACTCAGACCACCTTAACCCTAACCTTAACCATCTTACTCAGACCACCTTAACCCTAACCTTAACCATCTTACTCAGACCACCTTAACCCTAACCTTAACCATCTTACTCAGACCACCTTAACCCTAACCTTAACCATCTTACTCAGACCACCTTAACCCTAACCTTAACCATCTTACTCAGACCACCTTAACCCTAACCTTAACCATCTTACTCAGACCACCTTAACCCTAACCTTAACCATCTTACTCAGACCACCTTAACCCTAACCTTAACCATCTTACTCAGACCACCTTAACCCTAACCTTAACCATCTTACTCAGACCACCTTAACCCTAACCTTAACCATCTTACTCAGACCACCTTAACCCTAACCTTAACCATCTTACTCAGACCACCTTAACCCTAACCTTAACCATCTTACTCAGACCACCTTAACCCTAACCTTAACCATCTTACTCAGACCACCTTAACCCTAACCTTAACCATCTTACTCAGACCACCTTAACCCTAACCTTAACCATCTTACTCAGACCACCTTAACCCTAACCTTAACCATCTTACTCAGACCACCTTAACCCTAACCTTAACCATCTTACTCAGACCACCTTAACCCTAACCTTAACCATCTTACTCAGACCACCTTAACCCTAACCTTAACCATCTTACTCAGACCACCTTAACCCTAACCTTAACCATCTTACTCAGACCACCTTAACCCTAACCTTAACCATCTTACTCAGACCACCTTAACCCTAACCTTAACCATCTTACTCAGACCACCTTAACCCTAACCTTAACCATCTTACTCAGACCACCTTAACCCTAACCTTAACCATCTTACTCAGACCACCTTAACCCTAACCTTAACCATCTTACTCAGACCACCTTAACCCTAACCTTAACCATCTTACTCAGACCACCTTAACCCTAACCTTAACCATCTTACTCAGACCACCTTAACCCTAACCTTAACCATCTTACTCAGACCACCTTAACCCTAACCTTAACCATCTTACTCAGACCACCTTAACCCTAACCTTAACCATCTTACTCAGACCACCTTAACCCTAACCTTAACCATCTTACTCAGACCACCTTAACCCTAACCTTAACCATCTTACTCAGACCACCTTAACCCTAACCTTAACCATCTTACTCAGACCACCTTAACCCTAACCTTAACCATCTTACTCAGACCACCTTAACCCTAACCTTAACCATCTTACTCAGACCACCTTAACCCTAACCTTAACCATCTTACTCAGACCACCTTAACCCTAACCTTAACCATCTTACTCAGACCACCTTAACCCTAACCTTAACCATCTTACTCAGACCACCTTAACCCTAACCTTAACCATCTTACTCAGACCACCT